CTGCCTCCTCAGCTGGACAGGGAAGAGGGGTAATTAATGGCAGGGCGGGGTCAGCACATAGCACAGCCGGGTGGGGTGCACAGAGGACCGGGTGACAGGGCCAGGGAGCGGCTGGCCCGAGGCCGGTTCACTAGCTCACCTGGCTTCTTCACTCAGTCTGACTGACTCGGGCCTAGGCCTGTCTCTGTTCCTGACCGTAGCTCTGGGTGTTCCCCAGGACTCTGTCCTGCTGCTCCGGCTGGGGCCCTCCCTTGCCTTCCCTCCCTCTTCCAGCTCCCCCGCTTCTTGTGTTCCCCTCCTCTCCTGTCTCTTCCTGTCCTGCTGCTCCCCTTCTCGTCCCCTCCTTCCCCACCACCCCTCCGCCACTCTTGCTGCACTTCTCCTATCTCCAGATCCCGAGCTGACCTCTGCTGCCGGGCATCGCTTTGTTTTTGTGCTGATCGGTCTTCCTCGTGTCTTGTCCTCTGTCTCTCTCCTGCATCTTTCCTTCCTGCAGGACTCTCCTGCCATGTACTTTTCTTGCCTCTCCGCACCTTGCTCTCGCTCTCCCTCCACCCACTTCCTTCCGGCCTCTGTGTCTGGACGCCTGTCGTTCTGTCTCTCTGCCCTTCTCTCCTGCGCATCAGGTTTCTATCTGGCCATCTTACCTCTGTTCATCATCTATTTCTCCTCATAGCCCTATTCCTTTGCTTTATATTTGAGCTTTAGAGTCTCCTCACATATCGTTTCATTCTGAACATGCTGGAATATGCTTAATAATTAAGGCTGTAATTAAAGTGTAAGAGCGAGTATAATTAAAATGCGTTTTAGTGGATCCTGGAATGATGAAGCAATTAGGCGTTTTGACACGGGACTGAAGGAGCAGCTGGGGGGAAAGGATGTGTTTTCCTAGGGAGCAGCTTGCTGCCCACTCTTCCCCTGACCTGGCCCACTGGCCCTACCTGGGGTGAGGCCTCTCAGGCCTGAGACTCAAGCAGCTGTGAGGCAGGAGGCGTGGCAGCAGCTGCAGTCCTCTGTAGGCCACCAGTGCAGAGCCAGCTGCTGCAGGCCCTCCGGAGACAGAGGCCAAGACTCAAGCCCTTGGAGCTCCCTCCCAAACAGTCGGTTCTCATGTCAGCTCCAGCACTGACGGTTTCTGTGTCAGCCCTGGTAGGAGAGGGGGCGCTTAGGCCAGCTAGGGGATCAGAGGATACGGACCCGCGTCTCTCTTCCTGGACACACTTCTCATGGTAGCTCGTCTGTCAGCACATACAGAGAAGGCAACGGGGGTGGTAAGACAGAGCAAGTTTCCCAAAGTGAAGCGTCTTTTCAGTGCGGAAGGGGGACACGGCGCGAAGCCGTGCAGCAGAGCATAGTCTGTGTTCTGGATGTGGGAGCACAGAGTGCTCTAGAAGCTGATTCAGCAAGCCCCTGCTTTAATTGGGCCTTCGGAAGGCGGTACAGAGGAAGGCATGTAATATCCAAGTGCTCGTGAATGTGGCTATCAGCCGCAAGCAAGGGCAGCAGCAGGGGTTGGGCTCCCCACAAGGCCCAGCTTGACTAGATGGGCATCGATTCCCAAGTCAGTCCTGCCCTACGCCTTGGGAAAACTGATGTTAAGTCAGATACTGAAAAAGCTGTTAGCGAAGGAACTGGATTATTCAGCCAGAAGAGCAATCATTTTAAGTTATTCCAAAACAGGTGTCGAATGTTCATGTTCATGTCCCCCTTGTGCCGTCTTTTCCAGAAACATGGGAAACTAGGAAGAGAGCAGGGGAAGGGGTTGCCTGGGCAGGGAATTAAAGTGTGTTATGTGCATGTGCACGGCTGCCAGAATGAAACCCACTCATCTGCACACCCAATATGCAGCAGTTAAAAAATGTGGGGGAAAGAGGTACGGAGCTTGCTCACCCCTGCACTAGATGAGAAGTTAGGCAAGGCTGACCGACCCCTTCTCAGAGTGGGCAGGAAGCAGGATAAAACTAAACTCAGAAAGAGCAGGAGGTGAGATGGGGCCAAACTTGGGAGCAGTACTGCAGCTGCTGTGCGTTAGGACCGGAGGTTGCTCCGAAGAGAACGGGAGAAGGGGAAGAGCCTGTGCCGCCCTAGCTGAGACCTCTGCTCATGTCTCTGTCACCGAGGTGGACCAGCCTGCAGATTAACGTCTGGGTCCCTCAGCCTCCTACCTAACACCTGCCAACCATCCAGGCCCCTGTCCTGCTTTTCAGCCTCCGGGACATTGCCTAAAACCTCACCCAATGAATCAGAATCCACACTGAGGGTATCAATGAAACAGTGAGCCTTTACATCCATGTTAGTTATCTATCCACGAGTATAACAAATTATACCAGAACTCAGGGCATGGGATGTAACTCAGTGGTAGAGCACTTGCCTAGCATGTACAAAGCCCCGAGTTCAGCTGATCAACTGAGTGATCCCGCCGCCTGCCCTTGTATATAATCGTACCCCTAGCGCAACCGGGCCCCAGTGCCTGGGTTCTGAGGGGTGGGAGTATGGCAAAGGTGATGGATGTCACTTGTGAGACCAGGTAACAAAAGCCTGTGGCTCTGTCTTGCTCCCTTTGCTTCATTTGTTCACTCTGCTGATGCCAGCGGCCACACTGCGAGCTAACCCCGAACATTACAAAAAGAAAACAGGAAAAGCCCCCTCTCCCCACCAAAAAAAAATTCCACAGCATTACAAAAGGAATACTTATGCCAGTGTCTGCAGCTGGGAATGGAGTGTGGTCTAGCCGGGTCCTCCCACTCAGGTCTCTCACAAGGCCGTGTCCAGGTGTCAGCAGGGCTGAGGACATCTCTGGGCCTGGCTAGGGAAGAACTCGCCTCAGCACGCCCATCCTCAGGTCACTCGACTGATGGCCTCGCTCCTTGCTGGCCCTTGGCCAGAGGCTGCCCTCAGATCCCTGCCAATGGGCTTGTCCAGAGGGCAGCTCGCAGTGTGGCCGTTGGCATCAGCAGAGTGAACAAATGAAGCAAAGGGAGCAAGACAGAGGCACAGGCTTTTGTTACCTGGTCTCAGAACTGACATCCATCACCTTGGCCATACTCCCACCCCTCAGAACCCAGGCACTGGGGCCCACTCAGGCCCACTGGGTCACACTCAGGGGGTACGATTATAAACAAGGGCAGGAGGCGGGATCATTTATTTTAGAAGCAGCCTACCACCTTTAACAGGAACCTGCTAATGTGACGCAGTCCAGCACTGAAATGACAGGCACGGGCTTTTGCCATTCACAGAGTGCTTTCCCAGATATCGTCTCATTTGCTAATCACTACAAATTATGGTATCGGCTGTGCCGTCTTCACTTTACAGATAAGAAACTGGACTGGCACACCCTTCAGGTCCCGCCTCTGCCGCTTGCCACCCTTGTGACCACAGGAGAGCTGTTTCGCTTCTCCGGGCTTCACTTGCCTCCTTTGGAAAAGAGAGGCTCTAGGACTGGCGCATAGTCTTGTAGAGATTCGTCTGCTACACATGCACTGCTTGGCATTATGCCTGTCGTGCATAAGCACTTAATGGATATGAGTTCCGAGGAAGATGATGAGAGTATGTATGGGAATAAAGAAATTTTGGCTGAAAGAAATTAAATAACTCGTCCAAAACTATGCAAAACAAATACACTGCAGGCAATGAGGATTTTAGGATTTAACAACATCCCCACTTCTCGGGTCGCTGCTTCCAGAGGGGCCTTTGTCAGGTGCTTGTGTAAACCAGCCACAAGGAAGCCTCAGCCCAAAACCGTGCCCACTGCCTCCTTCACAGCTGCCCAGTGGGCTCCTGGTCCCAGGAGAGCCCGCGCTGCCTCGCCTCTTCAACTGAGCCACCGCTGCCTCACTGACCTTGGTCTCCGTGAGCAAAGAAAGCTGACCAAACACCTTCTCCGTTACACTCTGGTGAAACAGCTTCTCCAGTGCCTATATTGCAACGTCTTTGTTTATTAGGAAGTTTGTCTTGCTAAGTGGACAAATGCACAGGAAATGATCTTAGCTGAGACAGTTCCATCTCATTGTTCCTAGAGGGTTGTTCACTCTGAGAGAACAGGGAAGAAATGCACGGACTAGAAAGGCCATCCCCGGGCGACATGTTTGGATAAGGGGCCCGGCCCACAAATACTGCACGTCCACCAGGAACAGCAGGAGCGTCAACAGACACTGCTGAGCTCATGTTCAGTGCCTGTTCCCTTTCTGGAGAGTGAGGAGGAAGGAGAACAGAGCACACGGGGTGTTGTCAGGGTCCCCAGCGCAGTGGGCTGCTGAGCACAGAGCAGATTCTCAGTTTCATGTCGGGTCAGATCACAGCTTGGATCCCTGCCTTCCAAGAGGTCTTCGAGACAGGTGATTTCTGGGACGGGCTACAACCACAGTAAGCCCACTTCACTGGATTATTAGCAGATATTTCCATTTCTATTAGTAAAAAGCATTGATTTCCCTCATGCAAGTCCCTTACTTTATCTGTTATATTGGGTCACAACTTGAACACATGTTGTGGTGCAATCTTTCCCGTTAATGATGTTGATTAGAACTTAGGCTTAACTCATCTCCTAGTGAAAGGTTATAGGTAGCTTAACCCACACGTTCTCAGGCCTTACCCCAGTGTCCCATGTCACTCCCACGCCCACACTCATAGGGACGTGTCATTCTCATTTTTCCCAGAAGGTTTTTTCTTTGTGCACTCTGAGTGCTCTGGGATAAGGCCAGTTCGGAAGATTTTCCCATTCCAATTCACTGGACAGTTTTTCTTTGTGTGTACTGTAATCTTAAAGGAAGCTCAGCCTCATTTTTTAAGTGCCAAAGAGACACAGGCAGTGTCTTTACACACTAGATAATTGAAGTGAAAAAAAGAGAAAAAATAAATTTGTCATCAAAGTATATGTAAAAGGCCACAGTGAGATCATAAACAACTGAAACCATATAGTAATTACATTGGGTTGGACGAGCCATTTCAGGTCCTAGGAAACCTGACAGTTTCATCCGGTGACTGTCTGTCCTTCTGCCTTCCAGGAACCAATGTCCAGGAGGCTCAGAACATACTCAACAACAGTGGGCTGCCCATTACCTCGGCTGTGGACCTGGAGGACGCGGCCAAGAAGGCTGTGGCCAGCGTGGGAAAGAAGTGATGTCTTCTGCCTGCTCCTGCTGGGGCTGTTTTCCCAATGGCTCCCTCATTGTGAAGAAGAAGGAGAAGCAAAAACGGTTCTCTCACTGGGAGAAAATGGGGGAGGACCTGAACAAGAATCACTGTGTGGAAAATCTTAGATCTGTGTCTTCTTAGATAAATTATCCAGACAGCCTAGTCTGATTTTCCTTATATAGTCTCTGTTTGCAAGCTTTTGCCAACTTTGGGGAGCTGTCTCTGGCCCAATAATGTGCATATATACGAAAATTTAATTAAGGCAAGCCTCGGATCGTTGAGAAGAATGTTGGTGAATATTTACCCCATAGTAAAAAAAACCACGAGCCATAAACACCTCAAATAGGATTCCATTTAACATATTAACTATCAAAAGGGCAGAGCTAAGACATTCAAGCAAATAGTTATTACACACTGTGGCAGTTTTTATAAGTTTCTAATTCCAACACATCTTTAGAAAAATTATGAATATTCTAAAATATATTTTACAGTGCAAGTTCTACATTAATATACCATACACATATTTTACCACTTGCCTTAATATTGAATATTGTTTACTTCAAATTAAAAGTACAGCCAGCAGCCTTATTTGTGATTTTGTAGTAGGTTTCATTTTAATTTCAATACTGGTAAGTGCTGATTCTTATGGACATCTCTATAATTAAGTCACTTCAAAATGAGACACCTCCAAAGATGGAATTATGTCAAGAATATCATTTCTCCTTACTGACTGTCACCTCCAAGATTTACCAGTTTGCAGCAGAAAAATGGGAAGAGGTACTTTTGAAGTGAATGTGGCCTTTCACCGTTATAGCCATTTTTGTTGAAAATTTATAGGTTTCTATTTAAATTTTGGTAAAATTTTTATCTTTATGCAAATTTAAATAAAATCGTATGTTTTGTAAGCACTAAGATACATGTGTGTTTCTCATTTTAGTCAATTTTATTTCTTCGACCAGTTTTTAAAATAAAATACTAGCCTTCATGCCTTAGGCGTAGCTCAAAAATGGGAAAATCTCAATTGTCCAAGGTTTTCCCACTTCTGTTCACCTTTATCAGATAAGCGTTTCTGTGGTAAAGATGATTCAGTGAAACAGTGAAAATGATGTACGGAACAGATGCCCAGGAAACCGTGTCAGATGTTAGCGAGTGAAAGGGCGCGGTCTGCACTGTCCTCAGGCAGAACACTGCTCCTCTGTCTCTCCACTTAGGAACGCACTTGCCACCGTTGTTTCCTCCCGATCACGCATACATACCTAACCTTGCTATTGTATTTGCCTTTTACTAGCTTACGCTGTTCCTGTAAGTTTTATATACGGGCAAATTTTAAAAATCGTTATTTTCTAAGTCCGTATTTCCATGGAGAAATAAACCATTGGCTAGATCAGCCTAATAAGCACTTTTAAAGACTGTGCAAGGAATGGAATAAATAATGTCTTTTAAAATGTATTTTGTTTTCTGATAGCTTAATAATAAGTATGGTGAAAAGAAATGAACATGCACTTAGATGATTTTCTAACAATCAACATACTTGAATTTTCACTCTTTGCACATGGCCTGTGTTTGAATCCCCTGTAAATACCGATGTTTCTAATCAAGTCGGTTGGAGGAGGGGTAAAGGAATTAAGTCATTCATTTAATTATTTCGTGAAAGAGTTAATAACAGGCAAATAGGTTTTATTTTTCAAAAAAAGTCATTTGTCAAAATTACATTTAAAAATTTTTTTCTTAGCAGCTCCAACTTTGCATATTTACGTTGCTCACTGGTGGCCCTGATTCTGTTCACAGTGTTCTGTAGGCATCTGTGGAACGGGTTACTGGGGCGAGAGTGCACGGGCACATGGGCCCTGCTGTAGTGATGTATACTGCGCAAACTAAGCGCGAAACTCATGTCCATTCTACCTAAACCGCTTTGTATGCAGGTGTAACTGACTTGCTGGTCTACCACAGACCGAGACAGTCTCACAGAGCAAGTGTCAGATTTAGGGATTTAGTCCTGACCCTACCATTTACCTATGTTTATTTCCTTGTTTGGTGTTTCACTGTAGTATTTGCCCACACCTTTGATTGTGACAAAAGCCCAACTTAAACTTTGAAAAGGAGGAGATCTATTTTCCTCTTGAGATTATAAAAGACAGAGAGAGGTCTGTGGTCCCACGTAAAGCTGGATCGAGAGACAAACCCGTTAGCATCTGGTCTCTGTACATCTCGCCCCGCGCATCCCTTGGCCTCACGCTCGGGAGGTTATCCAGGCAGGTGCAGTGGCGGTGGACCATCCTGGGCACACATCCTCAAGCTTAGCATTCACAGGGGAGTAGAAAAGAATAAGTGAAAGAGAAAGTGAGGATGGAAGGAAGGAAGCTGCACTCTCTTGGTAACTCTAAGAAACAACCCAGAATTCAGTATTGATGTTCTGATGGCCAGTTCAGGTTAGGAACCTATGCCTGGACCAGCTCTGAAAAGGGAGCCGCAGTGCCCTCCTAGGTCCCACCTGGGTTAACCCCCACGTGGTTGCCTGGGGTGGAGGCCAGCTTAACTCTGAGACTGAGAACAAGGAAGAGGGAGGGCCAAGGAAAACCGCAGCCCCAACATGAATAAGTGGCGCGTGTTTGAAGAAAAAGAGGTGTCAACCACAGTCATCCGCTAAAGTTGCTTGCCACTCTAAAATCTTACAATTCTATTCTACTGCGTTCGCATTAGTTCTTTGGGGTCCTTTCTCCCTCACGTCTGAGTGTGCAGATGCTCCTCAGGTTATCTAAGTGAGTCTTGAACCTTAATGTCCATGTGAGAATTAATGGCGTAGAGGCACCTCGCTCCATTATGGTTTTCCACTTGTGTTGCAGTTCAATTCCTGGATTAGTAAAATAGCCAAGAGACTTTTTAAATAGCCTAATTAGATCTATAAATCGTTTTTAGTCAGTTATTTTACAGTTTGTATCTTTGTCCATTTTTCAGTTTGCTCTCTGAGAAAAAAATCATCCCGGAAAATTTTATTTGTTTTTAAAATTGAAAGGCTTAAGGAGCTGGGGATTTAGCTCAACGGCAAAGCGCCTGCCTGGCAAGCGCAAGGTCGTGAGTTCGGTTCCTGGTACCGGAGAAAAACCAAAAAAAAATAAAATAAAATTGAAAGGCTTAATCAAATGAGAAATATTTTTGACATTTCTAAAGTAAACATTTAAAACTATAATGTGATACTTTGTGAGATACCGTATGTGTTCAAAAGTAAGTTAGAAAACACATTTGCTACTGTTATAATAGTAGCAGAGCAAAGGGGAAAGGCTGTGTCTTTATGTAAACTTACAGAGACGAAGGCGGCAAACAGAGGCATGATGGTCTGTTTTAGTAAATTAAATTTAACTGGAACCCAGCAACATTGTTTATGAAAATCATGTCTGTGGCCAAGTTTATGCTACAACAGCAGAGTTGAGTGGTCACGATAGAAACCTTACGGCCCTGAAATGTTGGCCTTTTGGACCTTTACAAGAAAGGTTTACCCACCCTTGGCCTAGATAAAATTTTTTAGAATACACCATTCCCCCAAATGACAGAAACAGATTGTTTCAGGTCTAGGCAAGGCAGATGAAGGTATTAAAGTAAAAGAGAAATGAAAAAAGAAAAGCAGCGAATACGACTTTTGATCTTTCTATTTTAAGCTCCATGAGAACTTAGGAGCCTCCACACGACCACTTGCCAGTGAAAACCTATCAGCTGTGTGAATTCGTGTCTTTCCACCCCAGGAACTGTCTGCTTAGGGTGCTTTTGAACATACGCTGTTCTTGACTACATACAGGGGTACTGGAATAGTATCAAGTCCTGGATGTGAGCATTAAGTTTCCAAAGGGCTATATCAATCCAGTCATCCTCCAAGTGGTTGTTGCTCATGACTGCTAGGTATTTGGTGAGTCTCAGGGTCCTGGGAAGATAAAGCATGAAAAAGTGTGACTTTGGGGAGGGGGGCCGTGAACCCCAGCAACGTCATTGCAGTCATTCCAGTTAACTAGTGAGGAAATTATGACATAGTGAGATAAAGTTGCCCCAGCAAAGTTTCATATTTACTAGCAAAATTTAGACATCTGGACTTCTGGTCCTTAGATAAATTTGCCACTGCATCTGTTGTCCAAGAGAACATCCTGTGATGATGACACTGATAAATATCAGCTCTGTCCGATACCTGGTCATTAACCACATCTAACTGTTGAGTACCAGGAACTGAACTTGAAGGTCTGTTTCAATTAATTAATAGCCACATGTGGCTGGTGGTTACTGTATTAGACAGTGCAGCCTTATAGTCTAATGGGATGTGTTACGCTCACTCAGAGGAGCTCACATTGATTGAGGAACCTTACCTATGTCACCTTAATTAATCCTCTTAGCTGCTCTGTTTTACAAGAGAGAAGGTTTTGTCCCAGGGGTGTTTAGTAACATAACCAATAACACGGAACTAGTATGTGGCTGGTCAGTGCTGAAATTCTGCTCTTTGAAATTCAAAGCCACTGCTGTTTGTTTTATGCCTATAGGGACTCAAATTCACAATACTTATGCCGTTTATAGTCATGATGATTCAAAAGTATGTTGTAGACAAAGATATACAGCATGCTGAGTTCCTGAAAGTATCACCTTTTTAGTGTATTCCCCACTTGGAAAGCAAAACTTAAAGGTTGAATGAACACAGTCTGAATTGGGCAAGTTGTGTGAATGACATCTCTCACACTGCAAAGTGCTTAAAGCTGGGGTCATTTTCTAAGGAGCTGATCCAAATGGCTTGTTAATTCATTGCCTTCCCAGCATCTGAAATCAAGAGCTCCCCAAAGCCAAAAGCCAAAGGAGCAAAAGGGTCAGAGGTAGATGCTTTACTTAACATTTCCACAATGGCAGCCAGCCCCAAGAGAGGGGATGGAACAAACGCATACACCAGAGGTAGACGACAATCAAGGAATCAGAGAAAGTTTGCACACACCTTGTCAAAACAAAGAAAAAGTGCACAGAGTGCCCCTGTGCATTATGAGTGAGAAAAATGGAACAGCATGATGTCTGTGCTTCACACAAAGGGAGGCTAGATAGAAACAGACAGGAAAGGAAAAGCACCATACAAATAATCTTTTTTGGATAAACACATAATTCAGAAACCATTTAAGCATCTTCCCAGTAGCTTCATGTATGGATCCTGGGAAAATTCAATCAAGAAAGTAATTAAGGACTGAAAAAATAGAAGGAAGGGTTCCCAAAGAAGCCAATTGAAGACCAGGAAATAAAATCAGTACTGAGAAACTAATCAAATCGCACAAAAAATAATCTTAAATATACTGCAGTGCACAGGATGGGTCCCCTACCACCAGTGAAGAAGTTTCTAACCTAAAACAATGGCGTCAAGATTGAGAAACCCTAGTTTAACTGATTTTACTAATTTACAAGAGCAAGTTTGGATTATGAGTTTTAATTAAAGACACCAAAAAAAAATACCTGAAACATTGATCTAAAATGAGGAAATTGTATGATTCACAGTGAATTGAGAAGGGGAATGAAGAAATTGAAGGAATGAGGAGAAAATACTGTATAGCACAAGGGTGATCTGACATAAAAATAATAATTGGTGTTTTTGAAGTAGGAAAATCAGCTGATATGGAAAGTTACTTTGAAGATTATAATAAAATAAATTTTTGTTGAAATGAATGTAGAATTTTACCTAAACATGGGAAAGGCACACCATATTCCCAGGAGTATCAATACATTTTTAACGATAGAGTTTCTCAACCTTAAAGAACTCTGAGCTAGGGCTGGGGATTTAGCTCAGCGGCAAAAGCGCCTGCCTGGCAAGCGCAAGGTCGTGAGTTCGGTTCCTGGTACCGGAGAAAAAAACCAAAAAAAAAAAAAAAAAAAAAAGAACTCTGAGCATCCTGACAGAGCATGCAAGTGAGA